AGGACAGACCCATATGGTTTTTATTTACCCGCAACATCGTCATGGTAACTTCCCAATGTTTGTTTAGCATGCAAATGGCAACGAGCCGTGTAAACTGACCACTGGCTCATATATCATTAGTTGACTGACCATTTTCCCTATAAATAGCACGTGTTGTTTGTTTACTCCCCTCTCTCTCTCTCTCTCTCTCTCTCTCTCTCTCTCTCGTCCTCCCTCTCTCTCTCTTACGCTCGCTCTCTCTGTGCGTTTGACCTCAGCATGTGCTCGTATTCCATGTGCAATGAATTCATGGAAAATGCCATGTTTTTACGGTCATCTCGGCTCGGCCTTCCGACACTTTTATTCCGGCCAACTGTCGTGACCTTGTTGGCGTTTTGGTCTTTTATAGCTGTTGACGTTCGCTATTAACAAAATGACCATTTGCATCTTTGTGTATATAGATATATATATGCATATAGATAGAGACCTATTTGTGCTTTGGCGTTTGTTCAGCCACTGAGATTTATGGCAAGGTCAATGGGATCGTGAAATTATAATTACAACTTCTGCAATATACCCTATATGTGGAGGGTAACCACCAAAAGATACCCATCTTAGCTCTGGTAAGGTGGATGATGTCTTAAGTTTTTCCCTTTTTTGATAATCTGTTAATTTTATACCCCAAATCAATTCTAGTCTTATAATATAACCAAATATTAAATACTCAATACTTTGAGAGCAAGCAGATACACTTAAAACAATATCATTATCAATGAATATTTAATATAATTATTGCATACAAGTCAACAATAGAATTCATTTATTTCCAAATGCAATTGTAGATTTTTTATGCCAACGTTCCAAATTTTGAGTAGAGTATTCCCCAATGGGATATTTACTTGGCTCAGATGTAAGATGTTGAGTGAGCTCTACGAGGAAATCGCTTGGCAATTTTCTCGTATTCAAAGTGGATTTGCCGGGGGCCACACTGCGGCAGGCCTTGCGTATTCGCTGCTTAAATGCTCACAAGAAGTCAACAGACCAATTAATTATGGTCATTGAGTATTGGAACAGTATGTGACAGCGAATCCCAAGCCCAAACCCAATCCCAATCCGCAGACACATTCGCAAGCTCACAAACATAAACGACAACTCGACTTTGACTTGGCTTGAAACTTGAAGTGGCGGGCTGTGCTGGAACTGGACTTGGACATGGATTGGGTTGAGATGGGATGGGATGGGATGGGACCACACACATCGTGTGTGACGGCGATAAAAATCACAGCATGCTGCAAACAGCGACTCCGATGTTGTTGTTGTTGTTGTTCCTGTTCCTCCTCATGCTGTTGCTGTTGCTGTGGGCAAATCTTTTGACAGTTGTGTTGAAGCATAAAGATGCCAAAAGCAACAACAACAACAACAACAACTAGCTACATCAGCCAAGTGCGTGAAAAAGTATAAATCCGAGCCCGCCGTCCCAGACGCAGCACCAAAAGCGCATCAATCAAACGGCACCGCCAACGCCGCAAAGCAATCCCCAAACTCACACACAGAGAAGCACACACACACACACACACACACAGACACAGACATAGTTAGTTCGATCAATCATTTATTATGGCGTCGCTGATGGAGGCCCCATTGGGCTTCGTTGGTGGGCCCCGATATCCAAAGTCAGCCCCATAAAGAAAATATAAATTTTGAAAATATTCGAGACCTAGCTAAATTTTCTATGGAGCGAACGAAACGATCAATTTTTATTTTTATTTCTATTTTTTATTGCTCATTTAAGTTGTGTCAATAATTGACTTGGACTTAGCCAAAGGAACACTTATCTATGAGCTGCCGAAGCTTAAATACCCTTTCATAAATAGATGGCAGATATGCAAATGTTTCCATGATTATAATCCAATTCTCAACTCAATTCCAGCCACTTCTTCTTATAGCAGCTATATGATATAGTGGGCCGATCCGCTGCTGCCTGCTTGCATTTGTATTTCAATTCTTTTCCATTTCTTCAAAGTCCATTTTTCAGCTTCCATGTGAAAGTGTATAGAAAGAGATTTTGATAATCCTACCCCTGGATGGCGGTCAAAGGTGATTAGCTTAAAGTTCAATCTACACACAAACCAAATGACATTTTACATTGATCCGAATTCCGAATTTGTCAAAAGATCTATTCATTATTTTATAATTAAGACTTTTGAAATTTACTTCAGGTCCAAACAGACAACTTTCAATAATCAGTGCCAGTAATTGTATTTTAATTTATTATATATTTTAAATATAATTTTTATTAATTTACGGTGGCTCTGTCTGTTGCAAAAGTGATCACAACCTCAGCATACCCGCTTAAGCTTTTCCAGTTTGTACAGGGTACAAAAACTGATTGAAATTCCAACAACAAATATTTGATGAAATTAATTGCATCACACAAACAATCAGAACAATTATATGTGTAAATGAAATAAACAAATGAATAAATAACAACAGCAACAACAACAACAACAACAACAGCAACAAAACACGCAATTTGGCCTCCCAAGTGGCCGCTGTTGGTGGGCTGCCGACTGCGGGCTGAGGACTGCGGACTGCGGACTGCGCTGCCAACACGAAAATGTTGTTTCGCTGTTCTATTGAAATTGTTGTTGTTGTTGCTGTTGTTGTTGCTGTTGTTGTTGTTGCTGTGCCGCTTTTATCGCCACATAAATATGGAAATTTTTCATTAGCGATATCCGTTTCCGATTTATCTTAATGGCCCCAACGCTGTGGGCTTTTTTCTTCTTCTTGTTGCTGTTGTTGTTGTTGTTGTAATTAAGAATGGCTACCGTTTGGCGCTTCGGCAGCGGAGGGTCCAGCATGTTGCATAAACTACGCGGACGTCGACTGCGACTGCGACTGCGACGTCAACGCTGTGTGTGGTCCTCTGATTGAATGTTCAAGCTTTGGCCAATGAAAGCGGCTATTAAGTCTGGCCAGCCAACCAAGACACAGTTGGCAACTTGGGTGGCAACATGCCATTCACCAATCCCACACACACACACACACACACACACACACACAAGCTGAGCTCTTGTCTGTGGCGGCGGCGCCGCAAAAAAGAAAGCGCGTGCAACAGCAACAACAAGAAGAAGGAGCCGACAACCAGGGCAGGGAAAAAACTCAACCGACCGGAACTGCAACTGGCGCTATATGCAATTATAAGCTGCATGTCTCTCTCTCTCTCTCCCTCTCTCTTTGCTTGTGTGTGTGTGTGTGTGTGCAGCCACAACAATAACAAACAGTAGCAAGATTTGCCTGCGCCATAGATTGACAGCAACTGCAGTCGGAGATAGCTTCAAACAGACAGCGGTTATTGGAAGCGGGGACCACCAAGATGCCCAGATCCCAAGCTGCTAACTGTTGGCTGCCGGCCGGGACTGCCTTGTCAGGAGCAGCAGCATACTGGCAACATGTTGCTGTTGCTGTTGCTGTTGCTGCTGCTGCTGTTGTGGCAGCTCATCTTTGTTGCGCCTTGTTTTTGATCTTTCACGCTGTAAATTATACAGCGGCAGCAACCGCATACACAACGAAACCGACAACAACAACAGCAACAACAATATTTTTGTTGTTGTCTCCGCTTTGATGCAAATTGTTGCTGTTGCTGTTGCTGTTGCTATCTGTCTTGCTGTCAACAACACAAATAATTGTTGGCAACATTGCATGCGAAACGGTTTTCTTGTGTTGCCAACAACATTTGCTTGTCATAATTTTAATGCATGCTGGCGGGCATATTTTAATTTGTTGATGCTACAGTAAAGTTTGCCTATGTGTGACCCGAGCCCAAATTAGATAAGTTCCCATGATTCAGTTTTATTTCTCTGGAACCCTTTTGCTATGCTTCATTTAAAAACAAGAAGCAACAACAACAAATGCTGAAAGGCATAAAACGCATCATAAAAACATGTTTAACGATTTTTGCACACAATTCTTCCTAGAAGAAAACTTAATCCAAATGGCAAATAAAGAATGCTTTTCAAATAAAAGCTAAACTCGTTATTTGAGGCCACACACAGCGTGCCGGGCGCCCAGAAGCCGGCGCACACTTAAAAAGCCAATATAAAAAACAACAACAAACAAATAATTGCTAATTTTATGCTCGAATAAAAAACGTTGAAGGATCAAAATGGGCACCCAAAAGCAGCAGCAGCAGCAGCGGCAGCGCCCGCAGCATAAATTAGTGTGAGCGAAATAGCATTACGAAAACGTCACGCACTATCAAACAAGAAAATGATCAATGGGGGCACATACACACACTGGCAGAGGCAAACGTAGACCGCGAGTCAGAAAGAGAGAGTGAGAGAGACAGAGAGCCACACACTGGCAAGAGATAGACCACCCAAGACGAAACAACGAATAAAAGGCCACCCACGAAGAGCTGGCACATGTGCGTGTGTGAGTGCGAGTATCAATGCGAGTGTGAGTGTGCCTGCGAGTGTGTTGTGAGTGTAGTGAAAAGACCTTTGAAAACAAATTCAGCATTGGCTATGAAGGGTAGAGATATGTTGGGAAGATAATTGAAATATGTACAACTTGAACATGTGCGCTGAAGTGGGCATACACAAATTTCAAAATAATAAAAAGCGGACAGAGACAAGCATAATAAATAAATAAAAAGCAAACATGTGTGCGCAAGCAAACATGCTTGTATATGTACACACATGTGTTTACACATAAGTATGTAGTGTAATCCGCAACAGTTAGCTTTGCGAGTGAAAGAGTTGGCATCATTTCATTGCAAATTCTCAGTTGGGAAATTGCTTTGTGTGGTGTACTTCTTATTAACGGATAGCAGTGAAGCATTTGTTAAACAAAAAAGACATTACAACTTTCAGTCAAATACGATTTCGGTTACTTTTTGTTAGGAGCGCTGCCAGATCTACTAAAAATTATTATTTCGCTTAAACCACCCTGTGGCTTGATATCGATATATCGATACACCAGTAGTGGCAGCGTTCATTTGACGGCGTTGCTCATTATAGGTGGCTCCTGAGTCAGCCTATTTAACTATAATTTATAAGAAATAACTCCGCTCTCGGATTTCGTTTTCAGCTTATTAAATTTGTTGTTGCACGAAGATGCCACCAAAAAAGGCGCCTGGTCCAAGCAAAAAGACGGAGCAAAAGAAAAAGGAGAAGGTCATAGAGGTAAACCATAATTGCACGTATGTCCACTACAAAGTCGAACATAACCTCAACGCAGAGACCACGACAGTTTGCCGAAAACTCCCAACGTCAACAAATTTACCTCATCTTTGTATTTTGACAGGATAAAACATTTGGTCTTAAGAACAAAAAGGGCACTAAGCAGCAGAAGTTTATTCAGCAAGTACAGAAACAGGTGCAGGCCGGTGGCCATCATCCGCGACAGGATGGCGATAAGAAAAAGGAGGATAAGGAAAAGAAATTGGCGGATCAGCGCGAACTGGCCATGATCTTTAAGCCAGTGCAAACCCAGAAGGTGGAGAAGGGCACCGATCCCAAATCTGTAGTGTGCGCATTCTTTAAGCAGGGCACATGCACGAAGGGTGATAAGTGCAAGTTCTCTCACGATTTGTCTTTGGAAAATAAGGTGGAGAAGCGCTCGATGTATGTGGATATGCGTGATGGCGAGGACGATCCGATGACCAACTGGGACGATGCCAAGCTCAAGGAGGTGGTCGACAAGAAGCATTCGGGCGAAAAGCGACGACCAACCACGGATATTGTAATAACTCTGATGCGCGTGGCATACATTTATTTACCTCGAACTTAATTACAGATTTGCAAATACTTCCTGGAAGCTGTGGAAAAATCCAAGTACGGCTGGTTTTGGGAATGCCCCAACGGCGAAAAATGCATATATCGTCATGCGCTTCCGTCTGGCTATGTGCTCAAGAGAGACAAGAAAAAGGAAGATAAACCGACGGAGATCTCGCTGGTCGATCTTATTGAGAAAGAACGCGCTGCATTAGGGCCCAATCAGACTCGAGTTACTTTAGAATCTTTCCTTGCCTGGAAGAAGCGCAAGATACAGGAGAAAAAGGAAAAACTGGCAGCCGACGAGGAACGCAAAAAGAGCGACTACAGCAAGGGCAAACAGTTCGGTATTTCTGGTCGCGAAATGTTCAGTTTCAATCCCGATCTGGTCGACGATGGTCCAATTGAAGAAGGCGATGCCGCGTTCGATATCTATAAGCGCGAAGAGGATGACGACGATAATATCGTTGAGTTTAAGGAACTTGACTTGGCAGCACTCTCTCTGGCTGCTAAGGAGGTGGATGGTTCCGGCACGATTGCATCCAGCACAAGATTACTCGATCAAGCAACAGAAGCAGCCAAGACAGCAGCAGCCGAGGACGCGGCGCCCTCTGCGTCCTGCGCTGACAGTGCGCCCGCCATCAACAAAGATCTATTTGTGGATTTGGATTTGGCGGGCGAGCTAGACGATCTAGATCTTGACGATGATGATGAGGATGATTAGCCGGCATAAACAAGGAGAGCAACTCTTTGTTATAGTTTGATATTGAATTGCATACACGTTCATATAATGATTTCTGCCTTTAGCAACTTTTGATCAATAAAATTGTGGCTTTCACATGTTGCATAAATGTCCTGCGCTATGTTACTGCGCACTGCTGCATTGTTGTTTCCCCTGAGATATTGCACAACCCGAGAAGTGCTACCAGCTGCCAGTTTGAAACATATGATTTCTTTTATTTAACAGCTGAGATCATACCTATTTAAGTGCTATACACAAAGAAACATAATAATTTAACTTTATCATCGCCTCAGTCGTCTTTCATCTCGTCCTCTTGAGCTTCAATCTTGTCCATGACACGCCTATTCCAAGCTGACATTTTCGCGGCCAGCTCCCAAAGACGGCGCAGATGCAGTTGTCCGTCGGCCACGACCTGACGCAGTTTCCTTATAACCCAATTGACTTTTTTGTTCCTCGATTTAAAAACATAGTTAAAATTGCGCGATTCATTGACATAGGGCTGCTTTTCTGCGGCTGACATACGATTCCACACTTTACTCGCGATCCTCAGACATTGTGAATCAGATAGATAGTAATCCCTTACCTTCTGATTCTTGCGAAAGTGTGTCACGAATATCAGAAAGGGTTTGCCATTGCAGGTTGATGTATTTACTTTGCACCTGCTACTATTTTTTATGCCTTTCCATCCGGATTGCACTGATGCGCACTTAACTGAAACCATTCTACAAAAATTTTGACAATAATGAAGTTCATAAGTTTCTAAAACAAAAATTTTGATTATAAAACATAGGCGTGCGACATGTCATATATGTTTTAAACAATTGAATTTTTAGATAGGAATAAATTGTAATAAAATAAGTTTTAATTCTCTTTCGACGCCGAGATATATATCTATACATATATATGTCGTTTTCATTCTCAGACTGGAAAACCTAGACGAACTATTTTCGTAAATTATTTATATGTATATTCTCATTTCCTTTCAACACTGCCCCCGAGTTAGATTTCCCTTTTGTGGCTGCATCATTTTGGGACATAGACAATTCGTACTCCGGTCAACTCAATAGGATTCCCTTTTTATTTAGTTAACTAAATCCAACCAATCCCTAGGCTAGCCTGTTTATCCCATCCAAAAAAAAAAAACAAAATTAAGCAGCCTTTTGTGCTTTGCTTTATTAAACAATAAGTTGGGCATACACTTGTCTTAAGAAAAATATCTATTAATAACGTTGCAATAAAATTATAGTAAATCTATTAGCTGTACAGTTACCAAAATCCAGGAGGCAGCACACCCACTGCTTGCGGGATTTGGCGTTCACGCAAAAATTTAGAGAGAAGCATTTCGAGCCGTGTCTTGGGTCCGCCCTCGTCATACGCTGACAGCTGCGGCATATAGATTGTCTGTATGTAGACAAGGAGCTTTAAAAAGTTCACGCCGTAGGCATGCCACAGCTCGAAGCCCAGTGTCTGCAGCATCTCCATGATCATGGTGGCGCAAATGTCGGGTAGCGGCTTGACATGCATGATATGGGTAAGCCAACGCCAAGCCTCGTCCAGGCCAAAGCAGTGTGCGGGTCCATCGGCCTTGCGGCCGGGCGTTATGATAACTGCCGCATAAAGGCGAGCAATGCCCGTTTGACGCTTCAGGAACATGTCCGGGTTTTCCAGCTCGTTGTTCTCAGACAAGCGATAGCCCATTGTCTTTAAATATTGCTGCGGTGTTTGATCCGCCTGCTGTGGTATAACATACGGCACAAGATATGGCGACTCCTTGTACATGTAGGCCAAGAAGATCCTGCCAAAGTCAGGTAGCAGCTTCCAAAAGGTAACTATCACTGAGGCAAACGGAAAGGCTGCTTGCGGATTGCTCGATATTGCCGTGTCCGTTTGGCTGACAAACTTCTTCGCCATCAGCAGAATGCAATAGTCGCGCGCCAGCGGATGATCATTTATCGTAATGGTGCTGCCGTCTGTGGTTCTCACTGGCTGTCCCGCAAAAAAATTGTAGAGCTTGTCGAAGTTGTTGGTCAGGTGCTGAGCGCTGGTGGCCGTGATGGCGTTCAGCGGCAAATTTATAGTCCGCTGACAGTTGGTACGATACTTTTTCCATGTGTCGTCCGTTTGCAGTGGCTTGACGGCATCCACTTTACCCTGGTAAAAGGCAATAATCTCGTTGTAGAACGCCAAACGCGTGGGATGCACATAGCTGTTCGAGATATTGCTGGGCGCCGTTGATGCGGTCGGCGCTATTGGCGCCTCTGCGGCAGGAACATCCTGCGCTGCCTTCGCAGCCGCCGAGGCAGCTGCAGCGGCATCCGCCGTCGCTTTAAGCTCTGCCTCCAGTTGCTGCTGCTTCTGCTCCTGCTGCTGTCTTTGTTGCTCCTCAGCTTCTAGTTGGCGCTGCTTTTCCTTCTCCTCGGCCAGCTCTTTGGCTTTGGTAAGTTGCTGTTGCTCTTGCTCCGACAGCTGCTTGTGCAGATTGTCTTCCAACCTATCAAGGCGCTGGCAGTACTGTTCCGCTGTGAACACACAGCTCAACTCTGGCGGCTCACTGTTACCATTTTTGATTTTCTCAACCAGCTGATCGAACAATTGGCCCAGCTCGCGCAGCTCACTGTTCAGAGCGGTGCATGCCTGCACGGTCTCCTTGTCCAGTGCCAGCAGCAGCTTTGTGACCGACTCGTACTTGCTGCAGAACCGTCTGTGACAACGCGAAACTCCTTCGATTGTTAGCATATGCAGTTTTTGGTTGTTTTGAATGAGCAGCGCCCGTTGCTCTCGCTGTTGCGCCTCCAACTCTGCTCTGGCCAACTGCTCGGCCTGCTGCTGTAAAAGTTTATTATTCTCTTCCCTTTTGGCCCGACTGTTGCTGAGCCCCTGCTGCTGTTCTGCCTTTTGCTGAACAGCGAGTCGTTCCCTGATCGCACCTTGTTGCCGTTCTTTTATCTCCTTCAACTGTAAGCGCACACTGCGCTTGCATTCTTGGTCCAGCTCCCGCTTGACGATACTTGCGTTTATGGCATTCACATCGGGAATGATGCACGAGTCAATATCCACCGGCGATGTCTGTTTATTGAGTTTGTTAACTAAACATTGAGAGGGGCCATCTATTGCCGGCTCGACAACTGGCAAAGCTGTTGGTTTTTCCACTCTCATTTCCAGACGCGTTGGCTTCCTATCCGGGCCAATTGTACGCGGTCCTGTACATGCCAGAGAAGCCACTGCCGCGTGCTGGAGTACCGTATGCACATTCATCAGACGCGCATGGTCCCGCACCAAGTCATCCACGCTCTGAAATCAATTGTATGCTAAATTAGCTAAAGATCTTTACATTTACACAAGGGACTAACCATTTTGCTAATTTAATAAAATGTGTTTGGCGATCTGACGCCGGCGATACAAAAAAAAAACACTAAGTAACACATAGAGATGGGTAGCTGTAGTTCAACATGAACTGGTTCCATTGAACACGCCAATGAATTTAATTACGGAACCAACGGTGAACAATGTGAATCCATTTTTTGAACTTGTATATTGGTTTATTCATTAAATAGATTGTTGGTTATTATTTTGACGATATAATTGCTTATGTCATAAATTTACAAAAAGTTATTTATTGTAATAATAGTACGGGAAAACGATAAGAAACATGATTTAAATTAATCATCTGGCAATAATTGTATATTGTACATTTTTGATACTATTTCGTTTGACATTGCCCGATAAATTAGGTTTGAATAATCCGCTTTTTAACAATAATACACTGTTTGATTTAATAATGAAAAACAAATATTGTTGTGCTATATTTAAAACATTGCATATTGAAAAAACAAGCACAGATTTAAAAAAATTTTACCCCATGACTGCCATCCATTTCGATAAGTTCACACTTTCCCCTCTCCTCGAGTAGACGCAAGGCGCTTAGCAATACGTTCTCATCCATATTATGGAACTCCAACCGGGTGCTACTTTCGCCAGAGATTATCTCGTACAAAGTACATATGCTGTTCGTTTGTCCGGTCTCTTGAATCCAGTCATAGACCATGTTCCCGTACTCCTCCAGCGTGTACCAATACACCTGCCACTCCTGGCGTCGTTTGTCCAGCGGTGCAGCATGTCCACTTTGCTGCAGTTGCTCAAGAATGAGCAGTATTAACTCGGGCGATAGGCGACGGTTTATTGATTCATTGCAAAATAATGGCAAGTTTTGATCGTTCGTAACAAGCGTAAACTTATTGTTATGTTTGAGGTATTTGAGAAAGAGATCTGTCCAGACCTTAAGCTGTTGCCGGCGTGTTTCTTCATGCGGCTGCAAGCTGTGGAAGAGCAATAAGTCAATGAACCAATTTGTTGCTATAAAAGTTACTTACGTAAAAAAAGGTGGAAATGTGTACTCCCAGGGCCATTGGAACTCGGCCATTGTTTTGTTAAATTGACGTCATGTCACGGACAAAAAACAAACAGATGTTCAAATGGGGTTGCCACATAGCAACAGTTTACTTGCTGCCAGACTATCGTATATCGATAACCGATAACCTTTCATTTAAAACAGGAGCGCGCGTCATCAGCAACAAGATTGTATTCACATTAAATAAACAGTCAAATTGAAATGCATTCGATTTTCTTCTATATTTGTCTTAATTAGAAAAATTGTGTACATTAACATTTTTATTCCACACAGTTTAAGTTTATGTCATCTTTGCTATTTCTTGTAATTGTTACATTTCCATCCAAAAGTAAACATGTAGAGACAAAAAGAAGTTTGTAGATATCGGCATTTGCTTTGCATTATAATCATAAATATCCATTTACATATATACTCATATCAGATATATATTCTTGATCAATATATTTAAAGTACTAGGAGGCGCAACACTATACATTCAATATTTCTGTTTTTATTATAGATTTATTTAGTTTCTCTTTATTCTGCTTTACCAGCTGCTTTGCCCTAACCGCATCAATACCACTGCCTGTTGCCATTTTGCAATCCATTTATACCTATTTAAATTTAATGCTGTTAGTAAACATATGTTTTTGTTTTTTCTTTTATGTATATAAAATTTAGAAGCATCTTGGTGCTTTAGAAGTAATTTGTTGTCTATTTGTGCTCATAATAAGTTGTGATCTCTTATTTGCTGCATTCTAACTGGCATTTGAAGTAGGCTTGATTTTTATATTAATGGTAATTTTTGTTCATGCTGGGGTGAAGGAGAGCTGTGCAGGCAGTATATATTTAGTTAACGCGTATTTCACGTGTTACGAAATATTTGGTAATATTATATTTTGCACTTTGCTTTTGTCTTTATTTGGTTTTTGTACACATGCGTGGAAATTCTCTAGAGCCATATAGGGAAACAAAGGTGTCTCTTTATAGTTCAGTTTGTGTTAGCTAGTTTAAAGAGTTTTACAGTTAGTTCCTAGTTAACAAGTGAGGTTTGGTTGAAATCTTTCTTTACTATATAAGTAGGTATATTTTACTGTTTCGGGTTTCCTCCCACTGTGGAGTTATGTACCTAGCATGCTTGTGATGCTAATTCTAAAGACATTTATATAGCAATAACATTTCTTGTCTCGTACATATAGTAAAGCGCTCTACTAATTCTTTTTATTAAAAAAAAAAAGAAGAATGGTACAAAATAAATGCCCTATATTTGTGCTTAAAGCATATTGATGAAAATGTACACTTGAAATGCTTTGCTGGATCTCTTAACATAAGTTTGAAAGCAATGCAATAACAAATGGCATACAAATCGAATAAAAAACAAATAAAAACAATGCGCATAAGATTTGTTTCACATTTAGGGTCAGCGTGGAAAATGCACGTTAGTGCATCTAAGCTTAATTTACAGCACGTTGCGAATTACCAATTTCTCATTTTTGTTTTTCGATTTTCTCATTTGGTTTATAAATTTGAAACAAATCTCAAGCAAAAATTATTGTTTTCTTAAGTTATTAATCAGCGAAAAAAAGAAATAAACAATATACGCCCTATAAATTACATAAAATACATAATATGCTCGCCCTAAGTATCATTTACATATAGTTCTCAGATCTTACACATATACACATATGGTATAGTAATTGGTAACCTACTTAAAAATGGCATGTGGGTGACATGTATGCGCTTCACATACATTATACATTACATATTACATTATACATATACATACAGTACATACATTTATATATCGAGTTGTATAAATTGTGAGCGACAACAATATCCATTTAATTTGCATATTGAATTTGTTTTGCTCCGCATTGGTTGGTTGGTTGGTTGGTTGTTTAGCCTATGGTCTAATTGAGTTACATATACATATAAAGTTTTGGGATTCTCGAATCACTGCACGTATAGCATGACATGACAGCATGTTGTTTCACACAATGCTCCATATTTCGACTAATGACTAATACTAGAGGTATAGCTAAACCTAAGCTATAATTTTTGCCTAAGACAACGATCAGCTGCCTGCCATGCAATGTGTGGAGGGCTGCTGTCGGCTACTGATACTCTTGCTGTTTACTTGGCCAACGGCTCCAGGTAGCAGCGCACAGTATTATTCTCATCCAGCATAGCCGATAAATGACGCGCCTGCTGCTGTTGCTGGTGGTGTTGTTGATGCTGGATATGGTGTGCAGGAGCATGTTGCGGGTTGCTGTGTGATGTGTGCGACGACGAAGATGTTGTGGACTGCGGTGATAGTTTTTGTAGCTGCTGACGCTTTTGTGCGGGCGTCTGATTGGCCGGTGGCAGCGGCGGTCCTGCATTACCATGGCCAAATAGCTCGTTTACCGCCAAGCGTGCGCTCGGTGACTTGGCATTCTGTTGCTGTTGTTGCCGGTATGCGCCACGCATGGAGCCCTCACCAACGCCGCCGCTAACCCCAAAAACCGTTCCATTGTGTTCTGGATGGTTTATTGATGCTGTTTGGGCCGACGCCCCATAATCCAAGGGTAAGCCATTTTTTCGCTGCTGGCGTCTGCAATTTATCAGAAAATTAATTTTTAAACAGTCGAATATCAAATTAAGTGTCTTACTGAAACCGCCGCTTAAAATCCTCGTCCTGAAGCGCCATCAGACGACGCATACGCTCATCACTTTGAGGCGGCAATCCGTGAGTATCATCATCAATATCGCTATCGTTATCTTCATCATCACAGACGCTGTCGTGCAGCTGCTCCGCTGCCGTCACCTCGTCATCATACTCATCATCATCATCGTCGTCGTCATCATCCGCTACACAACGTCGTGGCGGCTGCTTCTGTTTTTGTTGCTGCTGTTGATTTCTAGAGGTAACGCTGCCTCCGCTTAGACTGCCACCACAATAGCGATTGCCTCCGGCAGCTACCGCGGCGCGCATACTATTAAAGACGCCCGTACCAACACTGTTGTTATACACTTCATCCACGTCAAAGTCACCAACTTCATAGTGTTGCCCATCTGAATTTCGGTTACTCAGAATCTCTTCATAAACAGGCCCACCATCGCCGCCACCATTGCTGCTCCCGCCTTGATTGTAATAGGCATCGCCGAGTACCATGCCCATGCCTTTACCTAAGCCCATCCCCTGGCTAAGATCACAGTTGGAATGCTTATTTCTATACTGTTGGCGCTGTTGTTGCGCTAACAACTCCTGTTGGTACTGCGCCATGTGTGGCGGAGGCGCTGGCAGTTGTGGTCCACCGGCACGTCGCTGCTGATGCTGCAAGTGCAATAGGTGTGCATGCTGTTCCGCCTGCTCTTCATCCGAGGATAGCTGTTGCTGTTGCTGCTGACGTTGCTGTCGCAACTGCTGCTGCTGTAGCTGTTGCTGGTAGTAAGCTGCATTGGGTGGGTCCAGTGCCTCGGCATAGTGTGGATAAGCTTGAGTAGCTGGTGGTTGTTTCAAGCCGCTGGTTTTCTTGTACGATGGGTAAAATAACACCTGAGAGGCGGCCGTAACACGGCTGTGTAGAGAACCGCTAGGCGAGGCGGGCACTGCGCCGGCATTACCTCCGCGCTTCTTTTTGCCGTGCTGGTTGTTGTGTTTTTGCGTCCAGTAAAATACCTCATGCGCCTGTGATGGCGAGGCGCCACCAACTCCACCTACTCCTGCATTAACCGTAACTCCAGTATTGTTGTAGTATTCTCGCTGACCTGCCTGCGGATGCTTCCAGCTGTAGTAGTCTGGCTGATGATAGTAGGCCTCGCCCGGCTGTTGGAGCTGTTGCTGCTGTTTATGTGCAAATATAAGATGCGTAGAACCAGCAGAGCTTGTGGGTGATGCATGCCCCACACTAGCCATGCCAGTAGAGCGCAACGTTCCTCGCTCGAGCACCACCGCGCCAACTGGCGTTGGTTGTAAACTGCCCGTTAAAAGCCCACTTTTGAGGGTGCGCCGCTGCTGGGCTTCATTTAGCTCGCTGTCGGAGCCAGCGCCCATGATGATTGCATCGTCGGTGGCTGGTACATCTAGCTGCTGCTGTTGTTCCACAGCACGAGCTTCGTCGGTTGCACTCAGCGGCAATTTTGACTTTGACTTGGAAAGTGTGCCAGCAGAGTTGTTGGCGACGTTACCGACGCCTGGCCCGCCATTACCAGCGACAACACCAGAAGAAATTGATGTTTTTGAACAACGCAGGCACTTAGGTAGCCAGGCGTGTTGGCGCACATACTTGCGATACTCGCGCCGTATCTTCTCGTTCTGTATACAATGGAACACAAATATGTAGAGGCCTAACAGCGTGTTGAAACAGATAAAACAGTAGCCATAGACGGTGGCCACTTCCTCGTCCAGTTTGGCGCCACGCAAGTAAAAATAGGCGCAGCACCAAACAGCGCTCAGGAGCAACAGAAACACAAACGAGCAGCGTATGTCGAAGCTATGCAAATAAACACAAATATATTAACACATGACCTCCGGATCAATATATATATAGGCTGCGCCACATACCGCACGTTGGCTAGACGCGTGTGCTCCTTAGTCTTCAGTGTAGTACGACTTTTGCGACGCATGATGATCCACGACAAAAATGTGTAGCCAATGGCCGCCTGTTCAGAGAGTCGGGTATTAGCAATAAATGCAATTGAGTGTTTAATTCAGAAACCTACCACAAAAAATATCAAAATGGGTGCCACAAAGGTTGCATAGAAGAGCGCATTGGCTTCCATGAGGACACAGTAATCATTTTGCGTGTAGGTGCTCGGATTGATTGCCAGAGAAATGGCCACGACAGTTAGTGAGAGGCCATATGACCACAGATAGTAGCAGTTCACCTTTGGCGTTTGATCCACTTCCAGGAGCAGCTCATCAGATGTGAGCGTGGAGTACGAATGGAAGGCTGAACATAATTTAGAAACGTAAGTTAAAAGCTGCGCTGCGCAGAACCTATTAGCGCTTACCTTCGTAGCAAAACCAGGCGGTGCCCGAGAGTATGGCACAATGCAGAAAGATAGTTATGAACCCACAAAATATGCTTGTTTCGGTCTGTTCAATTCCCAGCAGAAAGAGCAGCTCAATGGCCAGCAGGCAAATGTAAATGCTGCTATAGATCGAGGTGCGTGCAGACTACAGAAAGAGAGATTCAGAGTGGGAGAGAAAGAAAATTCGATAAAAATGGATAAGTTGACAGTTGAAACCAAATAGCGCTTTAGATCGAAAAAGTTTTAAGTAACGCGCGAGCGACCCAAACAGAAAGGGAGTCAATGTTTCTTTTGAAACATTTCATATTTGGTTGTAAATAATAGTTCGTTTGGTTCAACATAGCAGATAGATTGATAGATTTTAAGACTTTTGCTGCCCAACTTAATTTAGTTTACAATAATTTTGGTGGCTTTTGGTGGTGAAAATATCCAAAAATAAGTAAATAATGCATTATATGACTGATACAACATTTAGCGCATATGTGTATGTTATATAAAAAACATGAATGTGAAACAAGGCACGAAACAAGCAGATAAATGTAACAAACATACAAATAATACAAAATGAATAAACACAAAATACAATTATTTACAATGCAAAATTAGAAACATTTTTTTATTATTAATTACAGACACAAACAAAGAAAATTACGAAAATGACAAGAGAACTAAATGCATTAATATAATCTTGTTTTAAGTTAATTTGTTAGACAAGGAAATGCACATAAAAATAATTAATTTGTTAAGGTTCAATCTTGAAAATACTCACAAAGTTTTTAAAGCATGCCAAAATGATATATTACTATTACACTTAAGGAAAATGCGCTAAACTTATATAAACTACAATAACTAAAAAAATATCTATATAGAGGGTCAAGGCCAGAGCGTGTCTTGTGTTTGCAAAGTATTTTCAAAGAACAAATACTTTATAATTAAAAATAAAAATCAAATAAATTATTTGAACTCTGTATGCCCGGGCCTTGCACTAAAGTCTTCTGTTTAGAATTGTGTTAGTGAAGTTAACATATACAATTTAAGTTACTTAAGCTTTATATCACATGTGCAGGTCCAAAGGCGCCGCTGCAATTTTATATCTAACTATCTAGACAATACATATATTCATTATACATGTCTTGCCTATGCAGTTATATGTATATATATGAATATTGTATATTGTATAGCCTAGCCTAAAATTGTAATTCTTATTTGTTTTCACCACCACCACCATTTATATTGCAAGTCATCCATGTTAGCCTGCATAATGATGTTGTTCGAGTCCAGCGCGTTACTGCCATCGACATTCAGATTATGATTGTGCTGTGAGTGCTGCGCATGTTGATGATGTGGCTGTTGCTGTTGTTGCTGCTGATGCTGTGTCTGCTGTTGCGTTTGCAAATAATTGTGGCTAATATTTAAATTGTTGCTGGCCGCAGCATTGGCAGCAGCCGCACCCACATGGGCCGCATGTTGCTGCAGAGCAGCGGCTATAGACGCAGCCGCCGCCGCAGCAGCAGCTGTCGTCGTAGTGGTCGCTGTACCAGCCGTTTGAGCTCCATGAGGATGCAAATTCAAATTGAGATTGTTCATTTGCATGCCGCGTTGCGGCTGATTCATGTTGTTGTGATTATTGTGACTGTGAGAGAGCACTACAGCAGCAGCGGCCGCAGCGACAACCTGTTGCTGCTGTTGTTGTTGTTGCTGCTGCTGCTGAACATTATAGTTTAAATTGTTGCGATGCGAGTTGCGTATGGAGTTATGCTGTATAAAATTCGTGTGCTGTTGCATATTGTTGTTGTTGTGGTTATTGTTTGGGCCAGTAGGCGTTGTAAGTGTTAGAGATTCATGGGTCTGATCGCGTATATTATTCTGTTGACGTCTGCTACTCCCCGCGCGCTGATGCGGCAACTGCGTGGAATTTGCGTTTCTTACCTTGACGAAGACGCCATTGAAGAGCTTCAGTGTGAGCAGCGCTATTATGATGAAAACAACACAAATAGCGACGCTGATGTAGATAAATATACGCATATTTCCGTCAAACATGGTGAATAGCGAGTGCTGATGCTCATCGACGACATCCATAAGTATTGCAAAGTTGGTCAAATGATTGCAGCTGCAGACGCTGTGCGTGCGATTTGTGGACTCGAGACTGCAGCCATTAACGGACCAAGCGCTGCAAGTGTAAATTGATCAATATATCAGTATGCCTTTTACTAGTTATGCTAAGCGAATATTTACTGGTCAATGTAATTCCAAAAAACGCAGGTGGGATTGCTGACATTTTCCGTTTTCAAGTGCTTCAGCACTAATGTTATCGGGTGCGACAGCTGAATGTGGCGTCCCTTGCCCAAACTGGCTGAGATTACCTTACTGTTGAGTATACGAATACGTTGCTGCATATCTCCGGTGGCGGCATCGCTATCGTTGGATAATATAGCTGTGTTTCGTACTGTGTTTCAAATAAAAATTGTAATATAGTTCGCTTTAGTATTTTATATATCATTTGTTGCGGTATTGTTTCTTATATTATTCAAATGCTTTCGGGTTTATGTTGTCAATTTTTGTTCAATTATTACACTGCTCAAATAACAACTAAGAAAACTTTAGTCGAAAACCTCTATTCCCCAGATGTAGCTCGCGCTGCGTGCTCGCTTGCTTCAGCTTAAGCAGAGATATATCTATATTTAAAATTAAAAGTCTCTAGGTCCTGAGACCGACGCGTTCACACATGCAGACAAACTGACATGACTAAGTCGACTTGGCTATTGACGCTGACCACGCTAGAAAGATCAAAAATGCTTCTTTCTGCCTATTCATTCATTTGCAAAAAAAACCCTATTAACTTTTTTACATATTTTCAAAGGGTTGGTCTAAAAACTTCAATCTATATGAACAGAGAGCTACCACTATAAATTTAGTTTTTCGTGCTGACAAAGTAATGTAATATATATTTTGCAATAATATCAATAATAATGTTTCCTAAACTTACCATAGCTGCGTGCACTCTTTAAATCGAAATGATCATAGCTTGGCTTCAGTATGGACTCCAGGCGATCAAATGCCGCAAACACAATGCGCACCAGGCCGCCCTCGCTGTTCTCAATTAGTGCTGAGCGAGGCAATTCAATGCGATCGGAGCTAAGCGGCCATTGATCAGAGTCGGGAAATACGACACTGCCGTGAATGGTTTTTGTTTCCAAAACGCGGACAGAGAGCACTAAAAAAGGGTACATTTCGATTAGGCTACATATATCAAAAAGTTGTTTATTAGATTGGGTACTTACATATATTTTTGACCTTCTGCACTACATTGCGCTCCCTGATTATGGTATCGGCCAGCAGAAAAGCGTTATACTCAAGGCCAGTTAGCAAGGAGGTGGCAACGCGCATTTGATCCTCTGGATTGAGATCCAACCAAGAAGATAGTTGCGATTCGTCAAGTAAATTGGAACCAGTTTTGACAACGCCATGCAGCAGCTCCATAATAATAGCTTCACGCTGCCGCTGATCTGGAAACGTTTCCTTATCGTGAAGCATCTTCTCCGACATGGTTTGTATGATCTTGGTAGTGACGAGCATATCGCCACCATACAGCGTCTTACTGCTGGTTACCTCGGATAGATCGTTGGCAATCGAAATTAAAGAAGAATCGCGTTGGTTAACACGCATCTCGAGGCTATTCAGCCAAAGACTGCGACACTGCGTCAAATCCGGCGTTAACGGATGCCACGTGGGTTCAAAGTTACGGAGACGCTGGTTTTGGTTGACCTTATGCGCCATGCTTACTGGCGGTTCACAGCTGCTGCTGTTGTGCAAGCAATCACCTGCAGAGCTGGGCGGTATTGGAGTCGTGCTGCTGGCAGCTGGCAAATCATCGTCATATTCATCGTAGCCCGCATCAGGTAGACGCTTCATTAAGACACAGCGCCATTTCGCAATGCCGGCAGCGCCGCCTGGACATGGCTGTACATTGACATCGCCTACGCGAGTCATGTTCCAGAAAAGATTGCGGGCATGCGTCGGACCGCAGAACAATTTAGACTCATCATCTGTTCCCATACCAGCCGCATTCAAATTAATATTGTTTATAGTGCGCACCACACTGCCTGCTCCAGTCCCACCAATACTTAAGCTGCTATTTGTAGTACTGGCCACAGTGCCTGGTGTGCGATTAGGGGAACTTTTGGTAGTTAGCAGTGTGCCATCGTCGCTGCCGGCACCACCCACGCCCGTTAAAATGCGTGTATTGGATGGCGACGTAACATTGCCAGTGCTTCCACTGCTGCTGGGCTTGGTGGGTACGGTCTCGTCCGTGTGGTGGTGATGATGATGCAATTGAGGTGGTGGCGGCAATCCATCATGTCGACCACCCGGATGCTTGGTCGTAGCACTGGTAACGCCCTTGAGTCTTCCACCGGGCAGCGTGGCCGTGCTGCTGCTGGGCGTAGAATGCGTGGGCGGCACTGCATTGATGCCATGAATGCCCACCACACCTGGCAGGCTGGGTAGTCGCGGCGGCGGTGGTGGTGGTGCCTGTATAAGACCGCTACCATTGCCGAAAATGGGCGGCCCATTGCTGAGTACCCAAGGCGGTGGACTTGGCCTATTGGTAGTCGTCGACGTCTGTGCCGCCGAGATGCATTGATAGTGCGCTTCCAAATATTTGTGTGTGCCTGGACAGGGATCACCAAACATGCTGGTGGCCGCCAAAACACTGCAGCTTTGCTTGTGAGAACATCTGTGAACCGAAAGCATTTATTAATTACCAAGTGCAGTTGCATCACTTAAGGAAACAGCAGTTTAAATTTCAGATTGCATATATAATACATCAGACAAAAGCGTACAGAGTATCTAATTGTTTAACGAATGATCAATATACAGTAAAAGCTCCCATTTAAGCCTGTTTTTGGGGGAGGTAAAAATGCCTACTGTTAAATTCGTTTTAAATTCTTGGTGCCATTTTATTGCTTTGCGGCAAATAAGCGACAATTGACACGAGCTAAACCAGAAACTTCTTCAAATAAAATTTCAATTGCCATTCTCAGCACAATTATATTAATATTTACATTAACATTATTGACATCAAGACAAATATAAATCAAAATTGGTAAAAATTCTAACTACAGATTTAATTTAATTCTCTTTTGTGTTTGGAAATGTTATGAACTAACTTTTTAAAAATGCTGTTCGTTATTGGAGCTTTCACTGTATATGTAGGCATGTAGGCATAGGACATCGGACATAAGGACATCAATACTTATATACTTGATTAACAATAGTAGGGCAAATAGCTAGCACTTAAGTGTGGCATAGTCGGACGTATGGGAAAACTAGCTCTATTATTTGATCATAAAAGTGTATCGTGCAATGCCATATAATTGTAAGGGTATTTGAAATTCGACACTTACTTTGAGTTTAGCACGGTGAGGCTCTTGGGAAACATGCAATTGACGCTCCACTCCACATTGCCGTGATCATTGCATATAGTGATTGAGAAGCGACCGTAGTTGGCCCGTATCAAATTGATTAGGTCGCCCGGTTCGCATTCAATGGTGAGTTTCTTACCTTCGCAGGCGTAGGCGGTTTGATATTTGGGTGCTGTAAATGTTTCTACATGAGTTCGGTTTGTGCATAACAAATATTCAGATATTTTCGTTATCATTCAACAAATATAGAGGTATATAGTATATATATTATATGGATATGTGAAATAGAGAAAATTGTTATTAGCGCTGCGTTGATTTGTTGTAGTTTGGTTTGGTTTTGGTTGGTGGTTGATTCTGCAAAGACACTTACGCACTATATATGGGGGCATATGTATATACAAGAACAATGTGAATATTTATATTTATGCATCATGATACACGCTTTTTCGTTGCCTGAGATATACTTAGTATGTGTGGTGGTTGGAGGGTCGTTAGCGATGCTTTGTAGCAAGTAGAATAGTAGTCATAAATACCAAATCCTGCCAGGCAATGCCCAATGCCCAATCAACTTGCAGGTCGGCCTCCGTCTCGAGTGTTATCACTTGCTGTCCGAGTTTATTGAACTGTAAGACAAAGTTTCGGCATGATGTACTTATTTGATATGCTTGCCGCTGATAATGAAATAGACAGACAAACGCCACAATCATAAAACTAATTGATAGAGTTCTGTTGACAACTGTGGGCCACTCTTGTCTGCTGACAGTTGACGAAGAAAATGTTAAAGATTAAAGTCGTTTATCGGCTTGATAATATAAGCAAATGAGATATTTAAAGAATCATGTTTTAAATTTTTTAACTGTAGTTAGTCCTGCGCCAAGCTTATTCGAAAGCTGCTGTGTAAGCCTACGCAGCCTTCAATATTATTTGTCTCCTGGAGTAAATAAGTTCAAATAAGTTTGTACAAATTGATCATTTACTTGAAGACTCTCAATTAAACAACTTGAGCTTTGAGTTATCGATACGGAATTATTCGTTTCATCATGAGTTCTATTGAGTAAACAATTAAATATATTTTTTACACTTTACGTGCGTTTTCTTCTTTAATTGTTTATTTTTTCGATAGAATATATGTTAATTCAATTCCCTTGTTACAAACCCTAAACATAACTTAATGTTGTAAATAGTATGGCTACTACAGTATACGGCTAAGATAATAAATCATCCTCGCCACAAGCCTAACATCGATGACTAGGTTCATTAGAATCTTATACATTGGAGGACTATAAATATATGACAATGCTTACATATCACCTGATACATGACTGACCTCTTTTTAGCGCTTTTTTTCAGTAAAAATTGGCAAGCGCCAAGTGGGTTAATATCTTTCTCGGCAGTGTAAGCCACTTGGTTAAGAAAATCACATAAATTTCATTTCGTCTATATTCTTAAAAAATATATGATATGCTGTGCATATGGTTAATAATTATTTAATTTTATTAATAAATATTTTTCAATATCTATATATGTATTGCAGTTAAAATACAGGAAAAATATGTTTGGATTGCATCTAACAATTTAATAATTAGTAATTTTTATAAAAAAAAAAATCAGTTTGCTGCTTATTGATTTTGATTTCTACATGATTCAGTTATCATATGTGGAATTCATGAGGTCGCACTTACCACAGTTCCCAATTTGTTGGACGCCATTGTCAGAGCAAGTTACGAACGAGCCACAACTGAAAATACGATAATCAGGGAATTAGTCACATATGTGTGTGTGTGTATGCACATATTTACGTATATGCATGCATGTGAAATTGAAGGGAGCAAAGATAAAATAAGTAAACAACAAAAACAGCAGATAAACACTAAAGAGACTGTATTTATAGTATACGACATACGAACATTGTAAATGCATATATATATATGTGTATGTATGTGTTTGTAAGAATGTACGCACCCTTCATTTGTCGCTTTTCCAGCGAACAGACTCGTTTTCTTTGTACACTCAAATTGCATTCGTAGAAGTGCAGTCCCATGTAGAGAAAATTTGACGCTGGCTGCGCTGCTGCTGCTATGTCACACACATGCAAACGCACACTAACACAATCAAGTTTTTTCAGCTGCAGCAGAGACTGCGCTGCTTTGGCCAGCGGAGCACCCTTTCTGGCCTTTGTTCTCAGCTCTTTCATATGATTTTTTGAGTACGTTTTTCAGCACAACACCCATAACTATAGTTTTTGGTTTAAGCGCAAGCTAGTTGTTTGAACTAAAATGTTAACTTGTTGGCTGCTTTTGTTAATTTATTTGAAGTTTTTCTAAACTATTTCAGAACGCGACTGCACTTGCTGACGTATGAGATGTGTTTGAGACGGCGAAGTCGAGAAAGTCGCTTCGGAACGAAAACTGGTTTTGGTTTGAATTAGAGTCGCGTTTTTCGAGGCATTTATTTTCAATTTTTAGCTTATTTTCAAGTGATAGTTGCACAAAAATTGCTCACTGGCATTAAGCCGTGCACAAGGTTTGATTTTATTATTATCTGAATATTTAAAGCCAATTGTTTTTTTCCGTTTTATATCTTATGATGGGAGCCCAAATCACACACAACTTTCTTTCAGAAAAATTCTGTATACTTAAATGAATGGTAGTCCATGCGTGGGAGAAAGACGGCAATATAAGCAATCCAAAGTACATTTGCGGGGCTGCCAACTTGCTCGCAAAAGCGGGATTATTCAAATTTAAAATGTTGTATTTGCTTTACAAAAAAGCTGCACAGTTTGCCGAAAACAAGATAAACCTAGTTCCGTTTCTATTAAGTTTAAAAGAAATTAAAAATAAAAACGCAAAATATCCAGTAGCGAGCAATTTTATCCACATGTAAAGAGTAATGGTGAAAAAGAATTATTGGAATACGATATGAAAACATAGTTCCGGATTTACACCATTAAATTAAATCAGCTTTAAAATCTCAAGTGCACGTGCCTATAGTCCAGCTAACTTCTTATCAGACAATTGCTTAGCTGAACTTCCTGAATTATAGTTGCTATAAAATAGTCATTTGATTTGTGGGTGTAGTTCAGTATCGCGTCAAGTGCCAGCGCATTAATGCGCGGATGATATTATTTTTATAATATTATTATGGAAAAGGAAAACTATTTTACCACGTTCATGATCATATTAGTTATTCCGTGGTCCTTACAAGCCACTTCCCCACTGACTGGTACTAAAAAGAAGGATCCAATTAAAGATTGTACACGAGAAATGAAGAACAAATCAGAAATGTGCCAGAACACTACACAAATCCAAGCGCCGCTTGTTAATCAGACGGTTACGGCTAAGCCAAAGTTGACGGAGTTTCAAATAGATGCCCACAAGACAATCAGCATCAGCAAGGATGATCTCAACGACCTGTTGGACGTTTATATGGCCAAGTTGGCTGAAAACGCAGCCACCATTCAGGACAAGGAGAATGAAATTAGCCAATTACAGTCCAGGGATAAATCGGATGATGATCAATTGCAAAAGTACCAGGAGCTGTCGGAAACATGCAAGGCTCAAAATATATCATTCACAGCCACATTAGCCGAAAGGGACGAACAGATTAAGAGCTTGGAATCTAAGACCAGCACGTACGGAGCGAGATTAAAGCGAAAACAGCATTTGCTAGGTCTGTATAAAAAACAAAACGAATCCAACGCGGCAACGATAAGCGAATTGAAAGCTAGGGTAAAAGCTTTGGAATACAGGCTCAGAGAAAGAAAAGATGACCTACTCGCCGACTGGGAGGCGGCAACGAACAGTTGTCTGCCCTACGGCAAATCCACGGGAATTCATTTGATACAGCTGCCCGATTTTCGGCCATTTTTGGTGCCTTGCGACGGACTCACTGCAGCGGGCGCCGGCTGGACGGTTATCCAGCGACGCTTCGACGGATCTGTCAACTTCTATCGCAACTGGATGGAGTACCGCAATGGGTTTGGCAAATTGAATGGAGAGTTCTTCATAGGTTTGGAAAAACTGCACAGATTGACCACGTTTCAGGCACACGAACTTTATATTTCGCTGCGTCTATTTAATGGCACTCGACGATTTGCCTTGTACGATGACTTTATTATCGGCAGCGAGAAGGAGGGCTATGAAATGAAATTGCTGGGCAATTTTCATGGCAATGCCAGCGATGCAATGCGCACACATGACAAAATGAAATTCTCAACCTATGATAGGGATCACGACGAGTTCACGCACATCAATTGCGCTGAATACCATCATGGGGCTTGGTGGTACGACTTTTGCTCCCGCAGGTATGACCCGAAATAGCCAAATAATAAGCTAACTACTTTATTAAAGGATATGTGTTTTTTTTTCTCTAGCAATCTGAATGGAAAATACTTTAAAAAGGAAATGGACAATGAACAAGGCATTTTCTGGGATCGCTGGTATAGCTTCAAGTCCCTAAAGTCGGTACAAATGCTCATCCGGCCAAAGAACGCGCACAAAAATTAATTACCTAAGGCTTTTAATTGACTTTTATACAATATATCCGATATTGCTGTATTGAGATATCTGAATCTCGATATCTGCGCCAACAGATACAGATAAGCCCCAAGTCATTTCCACGCCCATTTTTTTTGCTGTATCTCATTTCGTTTCATTGCATTGCGCTTGTGTTTGTGCTTATTGACACACAAGTCAATAATGCAATTAATTTCAACAATTTAGACAAATCATATTTGGCGTGTGCATTATTCAGATGAAAAGTAAACTGGGAATCGGTTTATAAAACAAACAGATAGCATCGAAAGCTTGTACATTCCGTTTCGTTTTCATCGAAAAAGTAATATTAATGAAATTATTTAAAATTGTTATGAATACTTAATTGCATTATTAAGTACCACTTCTTATATTTATGTATATCTGTATTTATAAAAATAATAATAAAAAAACAAAACAGAAAATATTGAAGCATTTTTTTTAATGAAAATACGTTTCTATTGAAAATCATTTGGCCCAAAAAAATGTTTTCATTAGTTTTTATTTTCATGTTTATAATAAATTATATCAATGATATTGGGATGTAATTGTCAAAATTACTTTTTTTAAGCATAATGAAAAACGATTAAGGTTTTCATTTCTTCTTTATAGAAAATGATATGTAATTTTTATTATCTTTACTTTTATCAAAGATAATTAAATTTGACTTTTATTATCTTTACACTTTTTAATGATAATGAAAAATAATGATAATGCTTACAGGCGCAACTCTGGTTCAGACAAATTTAATAAATGCCAGATTTAATAAATATTCAAGCGTTAAAATGAGCCGTTAAAATAAACATACAATTAATTTTTAAATTTTGCCTTATTTTTATACCCTGAACCCATTAAAAGTGGGTATAAGGGTATGTTGTATTTGTGCAAAATCCAAATGTATGTAACAGGCAGAAGGAAGCATCTCCGACCCCATAAAGTATATATATTCTTGATCAGCATCAATAGCCGAGTCGATCTAGCCATGTCCTACTGTCTGTCCGTCCGTCCGTCCGTATGTTTGAACGCAAGCATCTCAGAACCTAAAAGAGCTAGAGACTTGAAGATATCCTGTTTTTTGGGAAATTTTGGTAAATAATAAGAGCTAGAGTCAGCCAACTTGACATATAGCTTCTAAAATAGAATATATATATGCATTTGATGTTGGAAGAAGAGAAGGGAGCTCCCGACTAGAACCTCTTACTTGTTTAATATTATGTTCATGCAAATGGCTTGGGTATGCAAAGTAAGTATATTGATTTAGATAAAGCTACCTATTTATATGGCTTGAATAAATCCAGTGGGGAGAGCTCGATTGGGACAGTACTTCGATTAGCATAATTTAATGAATCTCACTTGAGATACTCCAAAAAAGGTGGACTTTGCAAGCGAAACGTTTTATGGCCAACAACTTTTTTTTAATGAATGCCATATGATAGTAGGGATCCGTACGCATTCAAAAAGGTATAACATTTTAAAATGAGATTATATTTACCCGAGATTTTCAAGAAAACCGTCAAACAAGTTGAGATATTCGAACCTACCCCGATTTTGGAAAAAACGTGATGTAACCCCTTGCTTTTTGGTCGATTTGGCTAAAATTTAGATTTTTATTTTTCTGATGCCAATCGATAGTACTGATCCTTACGAGTCAAAAATAGTATTAAATTCCAAAATCTGAGATTATTTGGCCGAGATAGTCTTAAAAAATTATCAAAAAAGGTTGATTTTACAAACGAAACGTTTTTTGGTCAACAACTTTTTCCAACCCATAAATTTTTAATTTCTTTGAATGCCATATGATAGTAGGGATCCGTACGAAATCAAAAAGGTATAATTTTTTTAAATCAGATTATATTTACCCGAGATTTTCAAAAAAGTATTCAAAAAAGTTTTAATATTCGAACCTACCCCGGGTAATAGCTCATAACTCCGCGCGGAGATATGACGTTCCAAAGCGACATAGCTCCGCGCGGAGATATGACGTTTTAAAACGACTTAGCTGCCGCCTGGAGATATGACGTTCCAAAACGACATAACTCCCGCCTGGAGATATGACGTTCCAAAACGACATAACTCCGCGCGGTCAACAGTCAGGGTCAACAGTTGTATAGTATATATAAATGGCAGAGTAAAGAATCTCGTATACTCTTATTTATTTAAGACAATGCGAGGTAGGTGGAATTTCACAATATTCGTTAGTCTCAGCATCGAAGCTGGGATGCTACAATTTTGACTTAAAATGTATGTAAACAACAGTATGAACACAATAAATACAGCTCGGGTATCATATTCCAATGCATAGATGCATTATAGGAAATAAAGAAAAAAAAAAAAATAATACAATAGTATATTCTAATAGACTTCATAGCTGATTATTAATTAAACTTCAAACTATGTTGAGATCAAAAGACATACACGAAATTCACAAATATGCCAATTGGAAATTGATTATATTTGAAAATTTAAAAATTACGCCTAATCATCTATTACTTTTAAGAAACCGTTGACATAAATAGTTATAGATAGAGCAGATATGATAAGTACAGGTGTTACAGTGAGTATCTCTAAGTACTTGGTTATTAAACTAACTTCTTAAATGGCTTTGTAAACACGAAGGGATCTATAGCTGCGCGTCGGCTTCCACCTCCAGCTCGACCTCTTCCAGCTGCAGCTGTTGCTGCTCCGAGGTATGCTCACGCTTTTTGTGCCAGCGCAGACTGGCGAACTGCGCAAAACGCTTGCCACAAGCTGTACACTTGTACTTCTTCACGGCCAGATGCAGTTCGGTGTGCTTCTTCAGGTTGCCATATGTGGTAAATGTCTTCCCGCACACTGTACACAAATGCTTGCGAATGTTCAGATGGGCGTTCATGTGGTCGGTGAAGCGGTTCTTCTCATAGAAGCCCTTGTCGCAGATGGGGCAATGGAAGGATGACTGATTGAGGTGCGTGCGCCGATGAATGTCGAAGAAGGACCACGTCTTGAACGACTTGCCGCACAGATCACAAATGTAGGGTCGCTCGCCGGTATGGGTGCGCATATGTATGGCCACCTCGGTGGAGGTGGCAAAGCGCTTATCGCACTGCTCGCAGGCGTACGGGAAGTCGTGTCTGTGGCGGCGTATATGTACGGTCAGATTGCACGGCATTTGAAAGCCCTTGCCGCACAGCGTGCAAATAAAGGGCTGTGTCCCGTCATGGCCAGCGCGGTGAACCTTGTACTGGTCGCAGGTCTTAACCAACTCTGCGCAGACATCACAGCGAAAGGGGCCCAGATTCGGTTCGAGAAACTGACCAAGCTTCGCATGTAGCAGCGGAACACTACTGGAGCCCGAGGCATTGGTAAGGATTTTCCGTTTCTGTGCTGAAAAATCCTTTCTTAGCTCGAACAGCGTCTTCTCCAGCTCTGCCGAAGTGTACGAGCATTGAAAAGTGGTGTTCAGCTCGTCCAGCATTTGGGCCAAAGCCTGACTACGATAGGCATTTGAGCGAAAGTCAGGATGATCCACGTCCCACAATGCCGGATAGTTGCGATAGATTTCCACGAACTGCAGCTGGTCGTCCTGCGTGACAAAACTTATGCTACTGGAATCAATAAACTTGGTCCTGTGATTCGTTTCCACCACGCCCTTTTTCTGAAACGAATCAATTAACGTTAATATTTTACATAAATATATATCATGTCGTTCACATTGCTCTCTACCTTGCTTATCTTATTGAAGATCTGATCCTGGAGTATCTTTTGCAGGAACTCTAGCTCATCGTAGCACCAAAGCTTTGGCAGATAGAGACCCTTGTGCTTGATCACCATGCGCAGTTCCTTGCGATAGCGAGTGCGCAATTTCTGCAACTCCTTGTAGCACTCCTCGCCAGTCATCTCATAGTTGAGCTCCTCCAGCAGCTCCGCTGAGATCTCCCGGTACAGTTCCTTCTTGCAGCAGTTGTTGTAGTCAAAGTGTTGCGGATTCCACAGACTTTCTTGGCGCCTAAACGCATCTATTATGCAACTGAGCACTTCACGATACTGCGCCGACTTTGTTGTCGATTCGCTATCCGTTTCACTTGATTTTTCACTCTCCGTCGACTCGCTCTGTGGAGGGGGGAATAAAGAATGCATACGGGTTAAAAGCTAGTTTTCAGAATAATGAAACTCACTTCCCCGATATGTAGCTTAGCATACGTTAACATTCTGGTATTAATATTATCGCAAGTCAAATCCCATTCAATCGCCAAGAGGCAGAACAACCGACCATATGAACTTGCGGGTACCAATTCCTACTGACTCTTACAGGAAATTCCTTTTCGATTAACAACTAAAACGAGAGCGATCAAATCCCGCAGTCACTCTGTCCAAACGCACGTCCTAACTCTTACACTTGAACAGGAAAAGGATAATGACAGCAGTCCAAGTAGTACAGACGTTGCAGGCTTTTTACCCGCACTTTTGTTTAAGCTACGGCAAGGGAAGAGTAGACCCGACTGCTTTTCGAAGTATTAGGCAGCCTGGAAAACTTGCTACTGGCGGATCTGGCTTATCCCTTTATCCCAGGCACCACAAAGAGCTTCCAAGTAAACTCTACCCCTTGAAAACCTTGAAGAAAACATTCTCATTGATGGGCTATTGGCTCACCTTTGCCTCCCTTTCGGCACGCTTGTGCTCGATGACGCCACGTAAGAAATGCATCTTCTCAAAGTACCACAGACGCGTTTTGTACTTGCCACCCAAGGAGTTGACTTTGCTGAGTTCGCGACGATAGCGTCCACGCAGCTCCTTGAGCACGGCAAAGATTTCGGCGCCGGTCAGTGGTATCTGAAAGACGGCCTGAAGTGGTGTGGCTAGCTCACTATAGACGCTGCGCTTGGCATTGTACTTGTAGTCCGGGTGCTTGGGATTCCAGAGTTTCTCGTTCCGCTCGTAGGCCACCAGCAGGGAGCACACGAATTCCCGATTGCGTTCCAGCTCGCGACGCGTGCGCTGCATGGAGAGTGGAGCGGCAAAGGAGGTCACCAGTTGTGATTACATAAGCTGCTATTGTTGATTCTGTTATTGTGTTTGCTCACCAGCTTCAAGTCAACGCTGCTCGCGACGCTGCTCGTCGGCGAGGTGGGCGGCATGGGTGTTGGCGGCGTGGCTGGCGGCGTCAGCTCCAGCATTCCAACGTTCTCCTCCATATGCTGGCGCTGCTGTTGCCCCTCTTCTGCGGTTTGTTTTTCCGCGTCGCGCAGCTTGCGCTGCATTGCCTGGCAAGAACAGAAAAGTTCGCATAAGTTAATAAATTGTGTATCTTACGGATACGCACGCACAAACAAATACACGCAGCCACATGATCGCCTCGGCGCTTCACGTGCACACAAAAAGGGAAAGTCCACTTGCCCCACCCCATGCCCCTCTCGCAAATATCAGCGGCTATTGGCCTTTGGAATTCTGCGCCGGAGTCGCCCTCGTCATCGACATGGCTTATCGCACATTCACAACTTTAACAACGTACCCTCATACATGGCATACATCTACACCTATATATATATATATATATATATGTATTTATATCTAGTATTGTTGTGGATTTCCAAAAGCTCAAGTTGCCTGCGAGTTGTCGTAACGCACACTCAGAACACACAATTAAATATACATGGGTTGATTTTGTTTACTGAATGAATTTTATGAATAATTCAAGGGAATATCGCGTGTGTCATACAATGCGGCGCTTCTTCCTATTTAGATCAGTTGAAGGGAATCGTTTATCATTTACGGATAACAATAGGAAGCAAGACAAGAGTTTTAGAGGGAGCAAATTGAAATCTTCAAGAAGCCGAAAATTAAATACTCTTTTAAATATTTATATGATCTTTATGAGAGAGTATACCGATTTAATGCGGATTGGAGGAAAGGTTTGCAGCATGGTAAAGCCCATAATTGGGGAATTTGGTCAATATATCTTGAAAAAAAACAATTTCCATACAAAAACTTATTTTGAACCGATTTTTAACAGACAGGCGGACATATACTTATCACCACATTCATATATATCTATAAATATATGTACTTTATGGAATCGGAGATTTCGTAGCATAATAGAATAATTCAAATTTCTCTAGCTAAGTTAGTAATCGAGAAGATACTATATACTCTATGCACAGACGCGGAATTTTTCCAGGTATGACGTCAGCCACCAAGGCAAGGTATTGGAAAATTCCAGTTACTGGCGTGGAAAACGCTTGCAGATTTTCGCAGACTTCATAATCAGTCAAATTAATGAATTAATAAAAAACTTGGGTAAATATTTGAAAAGATAATCACAAGCCTTTTCATCAAGTACTCATCAGAGTGTATAAATATTCATGTAAAGTTAAAAACATGCTTCTTAAACAAACTCCAGGCTTACATCCTTGAATCTCAAGATGTGTTTAGTTAGATCGCATACTTAACACTATTTCTACCAAGGTTTTGTGTACACCTATTTCCACCAAAAGATGTCTTTTGGAAAAGGAAACAGGAAAAGAATTTAGAGGATTATGCTACCACTAAATAAGTTTTATAACCAACTAATAAATTATCAAAAAGGGAAGTACATCGATATTTCACTTGATAGCTCGAGAAGGAATTTCATTACTTTTGAATGAAATTCGATCCTAATTTGCAGCTTGCATTCCCTAGCTCAAAGTATTTGAGATCGAATTGCACAAAAATTAAAGCAAGTATCTGACTTTACGGCTGGCATCAAGTCTGATAAACAGACAACCAATTCCTGGGTACTCTCTCAGACGGCAGCTGTTAAATTGTACTCTACGGCGCCAGCTGCCGCTACACAACTCCAATAAATTGTAAAGACCAGGTCGATGCATCTTGAAATTGCAAATCTGTCTGGCATACAAGTTCTTATTTACATACATGCAGTATTATCCGGATCTCACTTGTTATGCTGAGTAACATGAGCCCATTAGCTGTTGTATTTGTTGTTTTGTTTTTGTTTACCCTGCACTCATTGAAAATGGGCAAAGAGATGTATACAAGTTTTGTGCAAATGTATGCAACAGGCAGAACAATGCACCTCCAGCCCATTAAAAACAATATATATACATATGTATATTCTGGGTCAGGCCGACGAGATGAGTCTATCTAGCCATGTCCATAAGTCTGATCTTCCGTCCATCTGTATAAAAATTACAAATAATAGAAATATCTTTCCTCATTTCCACATCGATATATATCGATTTTATAAGAAGTCTTTAAATATGGCTCGGAGATCAAAAGAACTGGAACTTGGTTAAGCTTTTCAATAGGATCGGACTATAAGCACTGAAGTTATTCAAAAATTCAAATGTCACAATGTGGAACTCGAGACTTTGTAGCTGCAGCTGGGTACGGGGTATCTTCTAGTCGGCCACTGCCGACTAATGCACACTTGTTTTAATTTTCCTTGGGCCATAATCGCAAATTGAAGTTGTCGCCTGATTGTCTTGAATTAAGGCGACAAGTGCCACAATTGTTGACGCGCTTTTACATTCTCGCGTTGTTCGATTTTCAATAAATGTTGGCCCTTTCAGAGAATCAATCAAATAAATGTTTTTCTGCAGTTAATGAGCTTATAGATATAGAATTCACTTTATAAATCTTTTATGCAGTTAAGTTTCGAGCAAGAATTGTGTTTAGTTAAAGATAGCCCTATAATCCTGAAGCATTTGAAGCATTTTCATTATATAGCCCTTAATTTGAGGCCAATCAATGCAAAAGGTTAGACGAACGAAGCTCGACTGATTAATTATAGAAACCTTTCCCATTTAAGCCCGTCAATTTGACTCGCTGACAGCCAAGCCCTGACCTTTTCAATAGCAGCTAATGCTATTTCCAAGCTAATTGGACAGCTGAAGCATTGCAGAATTTAAGCTCAATCAAATATCATCAGGGCTCTGGCAATGCATTAAAATGCAAAAAAAGGTAAATAGATTCCCCAAACCAATATAAAGAGTCGACCACACCCCAAAACAACACGAACAAAACCAGTTCAAACCACCCAAAATTAAACGTAGCGAAACTTTGCAGCAATTAACTCAGAAGACGAACGATTGCCTGAGTGGAGAGTGTACCACTAGGAGATACCCTGAACCCAGCACCAAGCTACCGTTAGCTAAGTTCCTTGAACCCATACAGAAAACACACATTCATCTTCATCCCATAACTTCGTTGTCGATTGTCTTATTATATTTACCAAAAATGTCCTTAAAGGGAACGCCCCTACAAATTCGCTTTTTCAATTTTGGGGAGATTTGTGTATACTTTTCGAGAGCCAACATACTAAACTCTTAACAGCTCCGAGATATGCTGAAAATAACAGTATAATTATATCGATTCTTATCGATATTTTCATATTAACGGAAAAAGTAATCGATAATTGAAAAAGCAAACTCTGAGAAGGGACAGACACGGACATGATAAGCACAATTCAACTTTAATCAGTCGGAGATGCCTTCTGTTTGTCTGTTACATAGCTTTGAAGAAAACTATTATACCCTTACATACCCATTCCTAATGGGTTCGGAGTATACAGAATACATTCTTGCCGCCCTTAAAAGCCACAGAACGCTTTTGCACGTTGTCTGCCAGGTGGAAGCGAAAATATGAGTGCTAAGGGTGGGGTCTGTTGCATGCCACGTTTACCATGGCTAGACATGTGTGTGTGTGTGTATATTATATATATATGTACGTGTGTGTGTGTGTATACGAAGGTAGTTCCAGAAAATGGTTTAGCAGCTGTTTTTGTTGATTTCTGCAGCAGAGGCGCGCAATTTGTAGAGCGTGCCAAACAATGGCAACACTCGGGCGATGACGTTCGCGACGAGCTACGGTCCCAGTGCTTCGTAAGGGCCACGGGCCACTACAGATTGGGTTTGGTATTTTTTGTATACCCCTGCAGAGGGTATTATACTTTTGTCGTAAAACTTGCAACGCATAGAAGAAGACAGCTCCGACCTCATAAGGTATATATATTCTTGAACAGCATCTACAGCCTAGTGGATATAGCCATATGCAAGCTAGTCTCTCAGCTTTAAAGCTATCGTTATGAAATTTTGCAGAAGTTCCTCAGCTGAATCTGACCAGTATATCATATAGATTCTTGTACGAAAAACTTTTTTGTTTATTAAGATATCTTGACCAAACTCGGCATTTATTTGTTTTACTATGCGCCTCATATATTTGGAAAATCCTACCAACACCGGATAACTATATCATATAGCTGCCATAGGAACGATCGGTCGAAAGTTAAGTTGTTGTATGGAAAACTTTTTGTTTTTCAAGATATCTTAACCAGAAAAGGGTATTAAATCTTCGGCAGGCCTTTCTCATTTTTTTTTTTTTAAATTGGGTGTGGTATATGGCATGGCGTTGCCTAGTTAGGAGTGGGGGCTTGACCGCTGCCCACTATTGATGGGGCGTCTGCGTCATGGCGGCGTCTGTTTACTGAACACGCAATTCAAATAATTGATCCAGTTAACAAAATTGCATAAAAATTCAATAAAAAGCACTCACAACAACAAAAACAGCCGTCTGTTGAGAGACTCGAGCGAATTGAAACCCGATCGCAGACCCATTTATCGAGTTAGGTTTTCTGTTTTATGTTTATTTATATGCTCTCTAATGAAAAGGGGTCGAAACTTGTTAGAACTGTCTGGAGAGCAGAATAGGGCTGGCAATTGTTGGGCAGGCAGGGAGGGAGGTTATGATTCCACACGTTCGCCTCAAACTTTAAGACACGCAAGAATTATATGGAGCCATAAACAAGCCGTTGGATTGCATTTTTTAGATTTGTATACCTTTGCTAAATACTGAGTTTGTTATTAATCTACAACTGTTTGGCCTGACTGACTGATTGATTGCCCACGTGCTTGATTGTTGATAAAACGCACAGTTGAATTTATCAAATTTAGCTGTAATTAACTTACGTTAGCGCAAGCCAAGACGGGGCTTTGGACAAATCCACCCTCAACTGTGGAAAATAGGTGGAAAACGCTTGCATGAAACTCTTTTACTTGTCTTTAAGAATATTTTATTGCTATACATTCTCAAATCTCACACGAGACTTGAAGCTCAAGCATGTATAGATAGATGGAATATAGGAATGTCTTAAGATTGATTAAAGAAAACCGCGCAAAACCGGATAATACCCGCTACTGTAAGATAATAGAAATTAATTAATTAATTAACATAAATACTTTTGAGCAATGACAGCTATAAACAAAATTTA